GTACTGTCCTACAGAAACATCCTGTTCTTCAGATGCGTTGGGCCTGTGTTTTCCAATCACTTTTCAGCCTTCCTTCATCCGTCGTATGCCTCCCCTCCTCGGACACCCCTCCTGTCCCAGCGTGAGCAGGTCTGCTGTTCTTTGTCATCCACCTGCCTGAGACTTGCCTCCTCCTCCTCCCCTTCCACCTAACAAGGAAGGTCCTCTGTTTACAACTGCTAACAGTTACTGGTTGTCCTTTCAGGAAATGTCAGTGACCTTCTTATGATAGGTTTAAAATCTGTTTTTCTAATGTAAACATAATACATTTCACTGTTCCCATGACCTGACAGTCCTCTTCCTTCCTCACTGCTAACATCCTGAATCCATCAGTGTCTGGCTGGCTGGCGTCTGTTGCAGTGAACAGTACTCTTGTGTAGGCTTCTTGAGTCCCCATCCTTGGGTTTTGTTTGTTTGCTTTGTATATTAGGCCACTGAGCTACATCACTAAAGCGTGTGTGAGTGTATGTGTGTGAGTGTGAATGTGTGTGTGTGTGTGTGTGTGTGTGTGTGTATGTGTGTGTGTGTGTGTGTGTGTGTGTGTGTGAATGTGTGAGTGTGAATGTGTGTGAGTGTGTGAGTATGTGTGTGTGAGTGTGAATGTGTGTGCGAGTGTTGTATGAGTGTGTGTGTGTGTGTGTGGGAGAGAGAGAGAGAGAGAGAGAGAGAGAGAGAGAGAGAGAGAGAGTGCACAAGTGCACATGCACAGGAGTGTATGTGTGTGTGTGTGTGTGAGTACACCTGCATGTGTGCATACTTGTGTGGAGGCCCCCGACAACCTCTTGTCCTCGGGTGCTGTCCACCTTGTCTTTTGATGGGGCCTCTGTGGAACCAAAGGCTTGTAGTTTGCCCCGGCTGGCTGGCTGACAAGCATGGGGATCCACCTGTCTCTGCCCCCCAGCCCTGGAGTTATAAGCATATGCTGCAATACCTGGTTCTGAGACTCAGACTCGGAATCTCAGGGTTGCACAGCAAGCGCTGTACAGGTTGAACTATCTCCCCAATGTCTTTTCCCAGTCTTTTGTTTCAAGGCAGGGTCTCACCAAGTTGCCCAGGCTGGCCTTGAACTGTGTAGCTAAGGCTGTCTTAGAACTTACAGTTCTGCTTCGGCCTCCAAGTAGCTGAGATTACAGGCCTGTGCCATGACAATGGATTCCTTGGGTCACTGGATACACTTGGTGGTCACAGACTATGCCCTTCAATTTTTGTAACCCTCCAAGTCCCCATTATAATTAATGCCTTATACTTTGGCCAAGTAAAAACCTGTTAGTGGCCTGGTATGGTGGTGCAGGTCTGTAATCTCAGGGATCGAGTGGTAGGGGCAGGGAGATGAAAGGTTCTAGGCCAACCCAGACTCCATGAAGAAACCTTGTCTAAGAAACAAAAGGAAAACTAGACCTGGGGCTGCAGTTCGGTTTGTAGAGTGCCTGGTGTGCAGGAAGGCTTGGGTCCCATCCCCAGCACCACATAAAACACACCCTGGTGGTGCATGCAAACCTGTAACCCTAGCACTGGGGAGGTGGATGATCACAATTTCAAGGTCATCCTCTGTAACAATAAGTCTTTCTGCCAATCTGCCTGAGCCCCGCTGCCAGCCATGTTAAGGTCCCAAGTAACACACAGAGACTTATATTAGGTACCATGCTGCTGGCCAATGACTAGGATTTCTTATCTGCTATCTCTGTCTTAAGTATCAACCATAATTATTAATCTGTATATTTTATAAAGACTTATATGATCGAGGACACTGGTGGCATAGCCTCTCTTGTTGGGCTCACATGGCGACTCCTTTTTTACTACATTTCCCAGAATCCTCCTTGACTCCTAGTCCCGCCTAACTTGCTTCCCTATTGGCCAACAGTACTTTATTTATCAACCAATAAGACAAACATATACACAGAAGGACCTCCTCCATCAATCCTCAACTACAAATCAAGTTGGAGGCCAACCTGGGTAACAAGAGAACCCACCTAAAAAGACAAAAAGAAGGGCTTAAGGAGGGACAAAGGAGAGGATCAAAAAGTGGAGGGACGGCAAGGCGAACTCGGGCTGGAGTACAGAAAGGCCCGGTGGTCTGAACAGGGAGAATCTAGAGGTGAAGCAGAGTAAACAATAGAAAGGGTTCATTAAAAGCAGGCTGGAGTGGCTGGGCCATAGCTCAGTTGGTAGGTGTTCATGCATGAAGCCCCAGGTTCGACCCCCAGCATGCATAGACAGAGACACGCTCTCTACCATTTGTAATCCCAGCACTTGGGAAGTGGAGGCAGTGGGATTGGGAGCTCAAGGTCATCCTTAACCACATAGCAAGTTTGAGGCCAACCTGGACTATTTGAGACCCTGTCTCAAAAATAATGAAGGGGAAGAAGCAGGCTAACTCAAATTAAAAACCAAATCAAGTTGTTAGTGAGCACACTCCGAGGAACCTGGACTCCCTGGGAAACCCAATGCCAACAGATTTGAGGGCAGATCCTATTTAAGAGCTATCGTTTGCTCTGGGACCCAAGCTCTGCTGTCTGGTTCTCTCTTGTCTTTCTTTCGACACCACCCTCTTGGATACTGCTTGTCATTTTATAATGGCATTTGCAGAGCCCTTACTCAAAAGTCTAGCAGCAGAATGACTGGAAATGACCTCGTCTGCAGCCTCCTGTATCCCAGCCTTTGCTAAAAATCCCTTAATGAGCAATTCATCACCTAGGAGCAGCCACCCAGTGCCTTCTCTGTTCACTCTGTGGCTTGGCATCTGCCCCTCTCCACACTCTGTCATCACTTACGCTGGCACATTGACTGCTATTCTTCCAAACTTGGCAGGGATACCTTTGTGCTGTGCATGCAACTGTGAATGTAGGTATACATTCCTCAATTAAACCCTTATTTTATTATTTTACATGTATGGGCATTTTGCCTGTATGTATGTCTGTGTACCATCTGGGCACAGATATCTGAGGCCCAAAAAAGGCACCAGACCCCCTGGAACTGGAGTTACAGATAGTTGTAACCCACCATGTGGTTCCTGAGAATCCAACACAGGTCCTCTGCAAGAGCAGCTAGTACTCAAAACTACTGAGCTGTCTCTCCAGCCCGCTATTTTTATTTATTCATATTTTGAGACAGGGTCTCCTATTCCTGGCTAGCCTTGAACTTGCTTATATAGCCAAGGATGACCTGGTCCACCTCCCCAGAGCAGTGATTGCAGGTATCCACTACCACAGCCAGTTTGTGCAGGGCTTCTGGAAGCATTCTACCAACTGAGTTACAGTCCTAGGACTTACCCAGTGTCTCAAAGCCAGAGGCCTCGCTAGCAGAGATGGTCTTCTGTACATCCATGGTCTCTCATTTCCTGGTCTCATCTATTTGTTTTGGCTTGTCTGGATTTTAAAGTATAAAACAAGGAGGGCCTGAGGGTAAGGACACTTGTCACCAAGCCTAATGACCTGAGTTGGAGCCATATGGTGGGAAGAGAGAACTGAGTCCTGCAGGGTGTCCTCTGACCTCCACCCATGCACCAAGTAGTGTGCACACAATAAATAAGTAAACCAATTTAAGAAAGGGAACCCATGACGCCCCCACCTAGCTTAGTGCCCCCCCCCTTGCTTCTCACTTCCCATTAGAACTCCTGCTCACCAGAAGGCCAAATGAGTAGGGCTAAGAAATCTTTCTTTTCTATTACAATCCCACAGGGAGTCTGTGGGTAGACCTGGCTCTCTGGGGAGTTAATAGCAAGCACAGAAGCATGGCTGTGAGCCTGTGTCCTTCTGTCTCAAGGCTGAACTTGACTCTTCCTGCCTTATTAAAAGATCTTGGAGGAAGAAAGCCTAGGGTATTTCTTTGTCCAGATGCAGCTTCCTGAAAGGGGCGGCATTGTTCGTTACTACCTACAGCCTCATCCTCCTGTTAAGGGAGCAAGGCAGCTGCCTTCTAGATTCTGATTCTGCTTGTCATAAGCCTATCTCTTAGCCATGGGCCCCTTTTCTGCTGTATCTTTTGCTTGGTGGAGTTCAGGGGACCTCAGGATGTCCCACCATAGATCAAGAATAACAGCAGGAAATGGGGTGTGGCTGCGTTTCTCAGCTCCCAGAAGTCACCCCTCAGCCTGCAGGCTGAGCTGGACAGGATCTGAGCCAGGCAAGAAGAGGTGCCCCAGTAACATGCTCTGACCCCTCCTCCAGAGTCACTGACAGAGTCACAATGGGTCTGTCTCTCATTTGAAGTCTGCAGAATATTCTCATTTACGTTTCCCCCCTGATAGTAGGAATTAGCTTTTGATAGGGATTTTAAAATTTTTAATTACACTTATTTACTTAGTATCTGGGCCACAAGGGCCACCCTGCAAATGGAGGTCAGACCAGAATTTGCAGGGATAATTTCTCCCTGCTGTTGTGTGAATCCTCAGGTCATCAATCACTGCAGCAAGCTCCTATTCCCACTAAACCATCTTGCTGATCCTTGGCAGGAGTTTTTCTTGTTGTGTGGTCTCCTCTGTTCCCCCCATCCCTCTGTATTGGAGAGGAGATAGAACCCAGGGCCTTGTATATACTAAACCAACCAATTTTTTTTAAAAAGATTTATTCATTTATTCTGTCTGGATGTGTGCCTATTTGCCAGCAGAGGGCACCAGATCGCATTACAGATGGCTGTGAGCCACCATGTGGTTGCTGGGAATTGAACTCAGGAATTGAATCTAGCCCAAGCCAACCAATTTTCAACTGATAAGCCATACTTCTAGCCCCTTGCTGGGGGATTTTAGACAGGAGCTCTACCACTAAGCAATGCCCTTAGCCCCTCACTGGGGGATTCTAGGCAGGAGCTCTACCACTGAGCCACACCCCAGTCCCTCACTGGGGGATTCTAGGCAGAGTCTCTTGAGTCACACTCCAGCCTGTCTTGTGTGTTATTGTTTTATTTTTCCTTCCTCACTCAACTACATACACTGCGATGTTCACCTCTCTATCTCTGCCCTACAGGAGAGGTCTGAACCCCCCACATCGAGTCAAGTCTATCTCCATGACAACTTTCACTGAACCTGAAGTCCTGTTCCTCCAGTCTCGTGGAAATGAGGTGAGTGCCTGCCACCGAGGGAGGAGGTAGCAGCCTGTAGTCATGCCAATTGCTAGCAGTACTTTGCCTCAAGATGATTGGAAAACCCGATAGTTTCCTTTGAATTTATTTTTTTGCATTTATCTATTTAGAGTGTGTCTGTCTGTCTGTCTGTTGTAGGGGGAAGACAAGGTTTTCTCGTTTCACCATCTGGGTCCCAGGGATGTAGCTCAAGCCATCAGCATATCTTACCAACCCCATTTCCTATTTTTAGTCTGTGCTATCACTTGCTTTATGTATATTGTTTCTTTACGTAAGGCCTGACCTATTCTCTTATAAACTGTCGGGCAAGGAGTCTGTCTGAGTTATAGTTGCATGCAAGTACCCCCACTGTATCCAAGCTCAAGTAGACATTTTATCTTTGAAGACATCAACCCGAAGTCATTAGTCAGAGGTCTGCTTACGGTGCCGTTCACACTTCTCCCATTCGGGGTTTCATCCCTTCAGGTGTGCCGCAAGATCTGGCTGGGTCTTTTTGACGCTCGGACATCATTGATACCAGATTCCAGGGACCCTCAGAAAGTGAAGGAGTTTCTCCAAGAAAAGTACGAGAAAAAGAGATGGTAAGGAGGAAGAAGGAGACACGAGCCCCATCTCCAGAGTGTCGCTGGCATTTCTCTAAGAGCAAGCTTTGACTCTATCCCTTCCTATCCCCAACTCCCAGATTAAATTAGTGTTAAATTCTGACTTCAAAGTCACAAGTTGAAACTGGGCATATTGGCTCATGCCTGTCATCCCAGCTCTCGGGAGGCTGAGGCAGAAGGATCACAAATTCAAGTTCATAGCTGCGCAGTGGTGGCACACACTTTCAGTCTCAGTACTCAGGAGGCAGAGGCAGGTGACTCTCTGTGAGTTCAAGGCCAGCCTGGTTTACAGAGCTAATTCCAGGACAGCCAAAGCTACACAAAGAAACCCTGTCTCAAAAAAAAAAAAAAAGAAAAAAGAAAAAAGAAAAAAGAAAGAAAAATCCTAAGTAAAGAAAGAAATTCAAGGTCATCCTTGGCTGCTTTGCTCTGGGCAAGCCTGGGCTACATGGGACCCTGTCTCAAAATAGAGAAATAACAAATAGACATGAAAAAAAGAATTTGTTATGCATCACTAAGTTATGCATCACTAACCTTGCAATTCTGTCTGTTTGAGACGTGTAGCCCAGGATAACCCTGAGCTCCCTACATATCCAAGGATGGCTTTGAACTTTGGATTCTCCCTCTGTTGCCCTCTGAGGGCTGAGATTACGTGTGTGCATCACCACACCTGGCTTATATCATGTTGAAAATCAAACCCCGGACCTCATACATGTTTGACTGATGTTCTGTCCACCGAGCCAAATCCCTAGCCCTAACCCCGAGGATTTGATGGCCTCTTTGTCTGGGAATGATTGAATCAGGGAGGTGATCCATCCATGTGACCCATTTTCTACAGCTCAGTAGATATCTGTATACATATGTGTGCATGTGTGTGCCAGGATGCTTGTGTAGAGGTCAGAGGACAGCTTTGTGGAGCAGGTTCTCCTTCCAGGTGGATCTCAGGGATCAAACTCAGGGCATCAGACTTGGCAGCAAGCACCTCACCCACTAAGCCAAATCACCATCCCTCCATTTCAGTTTCTGAAGCAGGGTTTTCAGTGAACCTGGCAGTTGCCAATTTAGCTAGAATAACTGCCAGGTGAGACCCTGGGGCTTAGAGCTGGGATTACAGATATTCTTACCATACCTAACCGTATGTGGGTGCTGGGGGGTCTGAACTCAAGTCCTCATGGTTATACAACAAGCACTTTACCCACTGAGCCTGAGGCCACTTCCTTGAGGTGTCCTAGCATTAGGATGCTTCTAGAATAAGGGTTGTATGCAGGGAGTGGGGAGGGAGGAGTTCTCCTCCAGCGGGAGCTGGAGGTTGGGACAGGCTGAGCTCCATTTGGACAAGGTACAGACTTGTTCTCTGTGGAACGGAGAGGTAGAAATAAGGAAATATGGTACTGCAGCCAGTGATCCTAGCTACCCCAGAGGCTGAGGGAGGAGGAGGGAGAGATCAGGGCCAGCCTGGGCAACTTAGTGAGACCCTGTCTCAAAATGAAGGGCAGAAAGGGCTTCTGTGTAACCTGGGGGAGGCCCTGGCTGCAATCCCCAGCACTAAGAGAGACTAAGAGAGAGACAGAGACAGGGAGAGACCCAGAAAGTTAAAGGGGGCCTCTAGAAGGAAGTTGGGGAGGGGCTGAAGAGATGGCTCCATGGTTAAGAGCACTGGCTGCTCTTCCAGAGGTCCTAAGTTCAATTCCCAGCAACCACATGGTGGCCCACAACCATCTGTAATGAGATCTGGTGCCCTCTTCTGGTGTGCATGCAGATAGAACACTCATATAAATAAGATAAATAAATAAATCTTTTTAAAAAAAGAATAAGGAAGTTGGAAAATAAGAAAACTGCTCCATCTACATTATTGTGTGTCTGATTTCTTAAAATCAAGATGGCTTGAGATGTCAAAAGAGGAAAGAGGGAAATCCTTCTTTTTTTGTTTTTTGTTTTTTTTGTTTTTTTTTGGGGGGGGGTTGTTTTTGGTTTGGTTTTTGAGGCAGGGTTCATCTGTGTAGCCTTGGCCATGCTAGAAATCACTTACAGACTTGGCTGGCCCTAAATGGAGAGATCCTCTGCCTCTGCCTCCCATAGTACTGGGATTAAAGGTGTGTGCTACCAGCACCTGTTGAAATCTGTTATTTTGTACAATTAATATATGATAATTAAAAAATTCTTTAAAGAATCAGGGTGTGGTGGTACAGGCCTTTAATTCAAGCACTTGGGAGGCAGAAACAGGCAGATCTCTGTGAGTTTGAAGCTAGCCTGGTCTACAGAGTGAGTTCCAGGACAGCAAGGTTACATATTAAAACCTGTCTTGGGAAAAAAAATCTTTAAAAAGTTAGAAAATAGCCACAACCCAGAGAAACCTGAAGGAAATATTTATCAAAATCTGGGCATGGTTGTATACACCTGGAATCCCAGCACTCTGGGATTGAGGTAGGAGGATCAGTTAAGTCATTTACAGGTACTTAGTGACACTGTCTCAAAAGTCAAAACAGTGATGGCAAAAAGGCTTAGCAGGTAAAGGCACTTGATGACCTGCCTGAGTTCAGTCCCAGGAACCCACGTGGTGGGATGAGAGAACAGGTTGTCCTCTGACCTTCAGTGGCATACACATACAAACACACACACAATAAAATAATAAAACAACTTTAACACAAAGAAAAGATGAATTGAGATGCCCAGTGGGCAGCTGGGTATGGCAGATCCTGCCCTTGTGGTCTGGGGATGGCTCAGTGGTAGAGCCTCTACCTAGAATCTCCCAGTGAGGGGCTGGGGTGTGGCTCAGTGGTACGGCACTTACTTAAACTTGCATGTACAAAGCCCAGATTACAGAAGAGGAAAGGCACTCTCAAGAGAATATTGTTAGATCACTAAATTCATTTTATTCACAAAAAGGAACTGATAAAGTAACAACAAAAACTTTGACCCTGTAACTTTTGTTTTCTCAACAACCTCTGTTGCTGGAGTTTTCTTGTCCCTCGAGGACCTGCTGCCCTTCAGCCCCAAATAAACACATGGACACTATATTAATTATAAAACTGTTGGCCAATGGCAGGGCTTCTTATTGGCTAGCTCTGTCTTAATCATTGACCCATTTCTATAAATCTGTGTATTTCCACATGTTCTTAGCTTACAGGAGAATGCCCAAACTGTTACTTCTTTGGCAGCTCCATGGCATCTCCTCTCGGTGCCTCTCTCGTCAGTCTCCTGGCCCCGCCTATCTTCCTGCCTTTATTGGCCAAACAGTGTTCTATTCATCAACCAATAAGAAAACATATATACAGAAGGACTTCCCCATCACACCTCTAAGCACTGTCCAAGGTTTTCTCTCTTTCACAGCATAGCTGTTCTTTCTCACAGGTACGTACCCCCGGAGCAAGTCAAAGGGCCCTCTTACAGCAGAGGCGGTGCCTCCACCCCTGTCCAGGGCTCCGTCCCGGAAGGAAAACCCGTGCGGACACTTCTGGGAGACCCTGTGCCATCTCTCTCTGATGCTGCTTCCTCTTCGAGCCAGGTGACCCTTTGACCTGACCCTCCCATTCCCACTGAGGTTTGGTTTAGGTTATGTGGGACAGGGGCATCGCTTTCCTACATCAGGCCCCTGGATTTAGCAGGCCGGAAAGTCCAGGAGCTCAAAGTTGGTTCTCAGCCCTGCTGCTTCCTCTGGCTTGCATCTGGTATCTGGGACCACAGCAGGAAGTGATACCTAATGACCTCAGTCCTGACCCTCCCTTCCAAGGAGCTAGGACAGTGCTTCCTGTATCCGGCAAAGATTCAGAAGTGAGAGCTCTTGGACACTGTGCCACAGGCTGCCATGCATCTTAGGGCTACCTCAGTGTGCTCTCAAATACCTGCTTCTTGGGTCGATGTTCTGAGAGAGGATTAGCTGCTTAGAGTTCTGGGGAACCCAACACACTCTTCCAGTTTCCACAGGCACCAGATACACATATGGTATACATACATAAATGCAGATGAAACACCCATACATATAAAAGGAAGAGAGCCAGGTGGTGGTAACGCACGCCTTTAGTCCCAGCACTCGAGAGGCAGAGGCAGGTGGAACTCTGTGAGTTCAAGGACAGCCTGGTCTACAGAGCGAGTTCCAGGACATCCAGAGCTGAAACACAGAGAAATCCTGTCTCGAAAAAAAACAAAAGCAAAAAGGAGAAAAGAAAAAAAATGAGTTACTTGGGTGACTTCTTTGTGAGAACCCTCTCAGCCGAGAGCACCAACTTACTGTGCCTTCTCTTTGCTTCACTGGGGGCAGCTTGGGAAGCTCTGGCGGGACCCAGGTCACGGGTGGGATTTTGACTATCACACACAATTCTTTCCCAAGTCTGCCAACCAGTCTCAGGCTCGTACAGCCCAGGCCAGGAGCTCCCAGCCGTCCAACAAGAAAGCCAGTACTGACTTGCTGGCCGATATCGGTGGAGACCCCTTTGCGGCTCCCCAGGTGGCACCAGCCTTTGCCGCATTCCCAGCCTTTGGAGGTAAGTGCCACCTGTATATGTCTCCACTATATATATTACTGCAAAGACATTCAGTCCATTGGGGCCTGACTCGTCTATGTGACTGGCAGAACAGGGGGTCAAGGGACAGCATGGACTATATTTGGGGGTTTAGCCAAATAGAGTATCAGTGTGGGCTCCCAGCACCTCCTTTAGCAGTCAAAGAAGCCATTTGACTACTTTGTCTCTGCTGAGCTGGGAAGAAGGGAGCCAGGCGTAGTGGTGCATGCCTGAAGCTGGAGAATAAAAAGCTGAATAATTTTCCCCACCTTTTTGCATGTGTACATGTTCATGTGTGTGCACTTACAGGCCAGAGAATTTCCTGGGCTCTTGTTCCTCCGCTACCAGCCACCTTTTTATTTTCTTTGTACTTTTTTTTTAATATTTATTTACTTTATTGTGTAAATGTATCGCATACATGTATGTATGTGCACCTCATGCATGCCTGGTGCCCAGAGGTAAGAGGAGGGCTTTATATTCTCTGGAATGGGAGTTACAGATGACTGTGAGTCACCATGTGCGTGCTGGCCATCGAACCCCAGTCCTTTGCAAGAACAAATGCTCTTAACCACTGAGCCATCTCTCCAGCCCCCAGCCTGCTTTCTTAGATAACCAAGAACCACCTGCCCAGGATGGCACTGCTTTCATTGGGATAGGCCCTCCCGTATTGATCAAGAAAATGCCCCCACAGGCCAGTCTGGAGGTACTCCCCACACACACTCTTTTTGGTGGTGGGGTGGAGATGGAGGTCTCTATAGCGCTTTGGCCGTCCTAGAACTCACTGTATAGACCAGGCTAGCTTTGAATGCACAGAGACCACCTGCCTCTGCCTCCTAAATGCTGGAATTAGGCACATGCATCACAATGTTTGGTGGAAGCACTTTCTCAGTTTGGGGTTCCTTTTACTAAGTGATTTTAGCTTGTTTCAAGTTGGCAAATTAGCCAACTATAGTGGTTTGAAAGAAAATGACCCCCAAAGGGAGTGGTGCTATTAGCAGTGGCTTTGTTGGAGTGGGTGTGGTCTTGGTAGAGGAAGTGTGTCACTGTGGGGGTGGGTTTTGAGGTCTCCTATGCTCAAGCTATTTCCAATGAGACAGTCCACTTCCTGTTGACTTCTGATTAAGATGCAGCCAGCACTGTCTGCCTGCTCCCCGCCATGATGATCATGGACTGAACTCTGAACTGTAAGCCACCATCTCAATTCAATGTTTTCCTTTGTAAGAGTTGCCGTGGTGGTCATGGGTGTGTCTTCACAGCAATAGAAACACTAAGACACCAACACATCTGGCTGTGTGTACATTTCCTTCATGCAGTCTTTGTGTCCTCTCCACCCGTAGGCCAGACTCCTTCCCATGGAGGCTTTGCCAACTTCGATGCCTTCAGCAGCAACCCTGGCACTTCCGCCTTTGGAAGCCTCCCTCCATCGGCCCAAGCCCCATTCCAGGCCCAGCCGCCCCCTGCAGGTAAAACTGCCTCATCCATTTCCTGCCTCTCTGTCAGTAGCATCAACTGTCCACTTCCATCATCCCCTCCCTCCCTTCCTGCACACTCCATGGACTGTAAAAGAGACATAAAGAGCTGCTTCTCCTACAAGGGTAATGGGTATGGGGCCCGCCACTCAGGAACAGAGGGCGCCACTCAGGAACAGAGGGCGCTGGGCTTCTGTTTTTTTCACATAAGGAAAATTGCTACAATGTCAGCACAGATTCTACCCCAAGACAATTTTCTTTATTATTTTTCAAAAAATATTTTATTTTACATGCTTGAATGTGTGCATGCAGTCTCAGGCAGGCCCATGTGTGCCACAGCACTCATGCAGAAGTCAGATGACAACTTAGATGAGTTCTGGGGACCCAACACGGACCTTCAGATTTGTATAACAAGTGTCTTTACCTGCTAAGCCATCTCACTGCTCCTCCAACCCAGGCAGAAAATTTCTGACTGGAAATACTGGAGACCCGAGTCCTATAAAAATGTGTGCATCCTGTTCTTACTGTCTGCAATATCTGTCCCAAAGGGCCAAGTGGCTCGGTCAAGTTCAAGGTGATCCCCAGGCGTCCACACCACCCTTCCAAGATCAAAGGTCTTCAAAACCAAGGGTTGTGTTTTTAGGAATCACATGAGACTCTGGGTCCCTTTCAAGCCTCTAGTTCTTTCCAAAGCCCCCAGACACTGGTCTCCATAGCCCTATGGCTGCCTTTCTTTCTTTGGCTGTTCTGGACACCAGGATTTGTTCGCTGAAGCGCTGTAGAGACCAGATGTCTAGAGACAAGCCAGTGACTCACTCTTTCTCCCTTCCTTTGCTCTCCCTTCCCCTTCTCCACCCTCATTGGCAGCAAATCGGATGCTTACTGGAAGTTACAGCTTTGGTGAGTCCTTCTTTGCAGCCCTCAGCCTACACAGGGTCCTCTGAGGTCTTTAAAAATGTAGCTGGGCAGTGGTGGCATACACCTTTAACCCCAGAACTCAGGAAGCAAAGGCAGGCAGATCTTTGTGAGTTCAAGGCCAGCCTGGTCTACATAGTGAGTAGCAGGCCAACTGTCTCAAAAATAAATTTAAAAATGTAGCCAAGGTATGGCTCAAGAGATAAAATGTGTAATTAGAGTGCTTGAAAGCCTGGATTCTATCACCAGAGTGAAAAAAAAATACAGCATTATAAAACAGATTATGTAATTATGCAACACAGCGTGGCAGAACTAACGTCCCCACTGTGCCACTCAGAACTGCAGGCTGCTTTGGTTTTAATCGATTGATTGTTTTTTTGTTTTGTTTTGTTTTTGGTTTTTTTGGTTTTTTGAGACAGGGTTTCTCTGTATTGTTTTGGAGCCTGTCCTGGAACTCCCTCTGTAGACCAGGCTGGTTTCGACAGAGATCTGCCTGTCTCTGCCTCCCGAGTGTGCCATCAACACCCAGCGATTGATTAATTTTGTGGTACTGGGAATTGAACATCAGTCTCAGGCAACCATGCTACCCTGACCCACTGCTTCTGTGCTCCACCCCTGAGCCACACCCCAGCCCCTCACTGGGGGATTCTAGGCAGGTGCTCTGCCACTGAGCCACACCCCAGCCCCTCACTGGGGATTCTAAGCAGGTGTTACACCACTGAGCCACACTCCAGCCCCTCACTGGGGGATTCTAGGCAGGTGATCTACCACTGAGCCACACCCCCAGCCCCTCACTAGGGGATTCTAGGAAGGGGCTCTACCACTGAGTCATGCCCAAGGTATTCACTGAGGAGTGTAGTAAGGTACTTTACAACTGAACTATTTCCCTCATCATTTTTAGTTTGGAACAGGATCTAAATTATCCACACTGGTCTTGAACTTTCAGTCCTCTTGCCTTTGTATTATACTGATACAAGTTAAAATCCAGGATGACCATCGCAGTCCAATCCCAGGAACTCATTGGTGGAAAAAAATAACCAGCTAAGGAAAGTTGCACCATGCACTCCCGGACACACACGAATAATCACATAAAGGTAAAAATATGTATGTTAAACCCATGTAGAGGGTCCCATAACTGACAATTCAGTCTTGAGACTGACAAAGAACAGACTACTAACATAATGAGAATTTTTTGTTGTTTTGTTTTTACTTTTTTTTTTTTTTTCCCTGAACAGGAGTTTTCTCTGTAGCCTTGACTGTCCTGAAACTCACTCTGTAGACCAGGCTGGCCTTGAACTCAGAGATTTGCCTGCCTCTGCCTCCCAAGTGCTGGGATTAAAGGTGTGCATCACCACCCAACCTAACATAATGATGGTTTGAAGACTGCAGTCTCTGCCTCATGAGATTAATGCACACAGTGTGTAAGGGAACCAGCTGAGGGTAACCAGAGAACCATTTAGCAAGCTCTGAAATAGAAGTAGGACTTTGACCACCTGACAGGCTCTCCTCCCAGAATATATTTTTCCTTTAATAACTTATTATTATTATACATTTTTATGTGCATTGGTGTTTTGCCTGCCTGTATGTCAGATCCCCAAGACTGGAATTACAAACAATTGTGAGCTGCCATGTTGGTGTTAGAATTGAACCCAGGAAACTCTGAAAGAGCAAGCAGTGCTCTTAACCGCTGAGTCTTCTCTCCAGCCCCACCCCATCCCCTTTTAAGATTGTGTGTGTGTGTGTGTGTGTGTGTGTCTGTGTGTGTGTGTGTCTGTGTGTGTGTGTGTGTGTGTGTGTGTGTGTGTCTGTGTGTGTGTGTGTCTGTGTGTGTGTGTGTGTGTGTGTGTGTGTGTGTCTGTGTGTGTGTGTGTCTGTGTGTGTGTGTGTGTGTGTGTGTGTGTGTGTCTGTGTGTGTGTGTGTCTGTGTGTGTGTGTGTGTGTGTGTGTGTGTGTGTCTGTGTGTGTGTGTGTCTGTGTGTGTTGGTGTGTGTGTGTGTGTATGTGTGTGTGTGTTTTAAGCCTATATGCTTGAATGTGCCCACATGTAGAGATCAAAAGAGGGCACTGAAACCTCTGCAACTGGAGTTACAGGTCGTCATGAGCCACCGTATGGGTGCTGGGAACCAAACCTGGGTCCTCTGCAATAGCTGAAATTGCTCTTTTTTTATTAATTTATTTTTTACATCCCAATCCCAGTCCCATCCCTCCATCCTGCTTTCCCCACCCCCCCACCTCCCATCTGCTCCTCAGAGTGGGTAAGGCTGCCCCTAGGGAGTCCACTAAGTCTGTCCCATCATCTTGTTGAGACAGGACCAAGGCACCTCTCCACTCCCCACACCCCTGTGTCTAGGCTGAGCACAGGAAGTGCTCTTAACCACTGAGCCATCTCTCCAGTCCCAGAATATATTTTTTTTCAAACATTATCCTTTCATGGTTGGACATGCACAAGGAAACAAAATTGCCATAAATTCTAACAAATAAGACTTACATATGTCGGGCTTGAGAGATGGCTCAGCAGTTAAAGCACACTGGCTGTTCTTCCAAAGGACCCAGGTTTGATTCCCAGCACCTACATGGTGGCTCACAGCCATCTGTAACTCCAGTTCCAGGGTATCTGATGTTCCTTTCTGGCCCCTGTGCACCGGGCATGTGGTACACATATATGTGCAAGCAAAATGATCATACAAGTAAAATTTTTAAAGGATTCTTTGAATGTTTTAAATTTTATTTTATATTTATTTATAGTTAGGCTGGTATGGTGCTTGCCTAGCTTGTCCACAACTCTAGGTTTGGTCCTTATCACCACATAAATCAGGAGTGGCAGGCCAGACCTATCATCCTGGCACTCAGAAGTTTGAGGTCATCACCTACATAGGGGGTTGGAGGCCAGCCTGGAATATGTGAGCCCCTGCCTGAAAAGACACAGAGAGGGCAAGGGTTGGGGGATGCCTGCCTATAACACAACTGATTGCATTCCAAATAGAGCTGGTATCTATCTAGAAGAAGAAAGATAGCAAGAAGAAAGTCCCGAGACTCACAGTCCTCTCAAGGCATGGGGCATGGATGTCTCTAACTGCAGGTAGTCCACGCCCTAACCCAAATCCTGCCACTATGGGAAGGAAGGTCCTCACTTGGCTAAGATGAAGTGTAGCTGTTCAGACAGGATGTAGTTCAGAGGTAGAGCACCTGCCTAGCACATGTGAGGCCCCTGGGTTCCAACCCCAGCAACATAAGGAACAAAGGGATCAATTGGTCTTGCTGAGAGATTTTGAGAGGTGGGTAGCTCTTCTGATGGATTGCTGGGCTGTATTGTTTGTTTGTTTGGTTGGTTTTAGTTTTGCAAGGCAGGATTTCTCTGTGTAATAGCCCTAACTTCCTGGAACTAGTGTAGACCAGGCTGGCCTCGAACTCACGGAGATCCGCCTGCCTCTGCCACCCAAGTGCTGGGATTTAAGGCATGGGCCACCACTGCCCTGTTATGTTGGGTTTTATTTGTGTAGGTCAGAGGAGTATGCAAAAGGGAGGTTGCTAAATATGTAGTGTCTTGAGGCCAACAAAATGACCCAGTGGGTGAAAGCATCTACCGCCAAGCCAGATGCCCTGAGTTTGATCCCTAGAGCCCGCAAGATGGAACAAGAGGTCCAGCTAGTGAGAGTCCTCTGCCCTCGATGTGTGTCCCTCTATGCAAAAAATTAATGACTAAATATTAATGTGCTGCTTTGGAGCTGGTGTTGGCTCCGTGGGTGACTAGAGTTTTTAAGCCCAGCTCTGCCCTCTAGTGTCCACAGAGAAGCACTTTCCAGACTGTGAGCTATCAAGGGTGGAAAGCTCACTCTCTGGGGAAGTAGCTGGAACATGGAGACCCAGGCAGTACTGAAGAGTTGACTCATTCCTGAAGGTAGTTGCGTTTGTTCAGAAACCCTATGTGCTCTGAGTCAGGCAGGCAGGGGAAAAGCACGACCCAGATCTACCTGCCTCATATCCTGTGGTTAGAAGCCTGGATGGGGACAGTCTAGATGACTCAGTGGGTGAAAGGCTCTTGCTGTGTAAGTTGGAAGACCTGAGTTCTATCTCCAGAGCCTGTGTAAAAAAGCACTCGCACGTGTGCCCACTCGCGTGCACACCCACACTTTAGAAAAAAAAAAAAAAAGATAAATACGGCGGGCACAGAAATGCAAATCTCAGTGTTGGAGCATCTGAAAGAAGCCAGAGCTGAACTGGGATGTGCTCAGTGGCAGAGCGCTTATCTGGCATCCGAAATGTCCTGGGTTATCTACCCAGCACCACTGGGGATAGGGGAACAACACTGAGTTTGGTGGCCTCCCAACATTCAGGAAGCTGAGTAGGATTGCTGCAAGTTCGAGGTTTGCCTGGGCTACGACGTAGTGAGGCCCTTTTTGAAAACATCAAAGGTTTAGGACATAGCTCCATAGTAGGGCACTTACCTAACATACACAGAACCCTAGATTTGATTCTTGGTACAATTAATAAACTAATTTGTTTGTTTGGTTTGGTTTTTTAGAGACAAGGTTTTTCTGTTTAGCACTAGCTGTCCTGAAAACTCTATAGACCAGGATGGCCTCTGCCTCTTGACAGCTGAGAGTAAAGGTGTGCACCACCACTGCCCAGCTAACTAATTAATTTTTAAAATTAATTAGGAGCTAGGATGATAGCTCAGTTGGTAGAGTGTCTTGTATACACAAAAGCCCTAGATCCAATCCCTAGCCACATATGTTCCAGGTATACTTGTAATCCCAGCACTTGGAGGCAGAGACAAGGAGGTAGAGGAGACTTCAAGGCCAGACACTATCTCAAAAAAGAGAGAGGAAGGAGCTGGCTGGTAGTGGTGCATGCCTTTAATCCCAGCACTCAAGAGGCAGAGACAGGCTGAATTCAAGGTCACCCTGGTCCACAGAGGGAGTTCTAGGACAGGCTTCCAGGCTACAGAGAAACCCTGTCTTGAAAAAGAGAGGGAGGGAAAGAGAGGCATGCCATTTTGCTGAGGAGACAGGCAGACAGACCCAGCTGTATGACACGATGGGAGACAAGCAAGATGAGGGTGGTGGTTACAGCACTGAGGAACTGGAGAAGGCCTGAGCTATTGCCTTACCCAGGACTTCAGGAGATGAGCTCCCTCGGGCTAGGTGGTCATGGGGAAACGGCTAGCTCAGAGAGTCCAGAAGGTGCCTTACCTGTCATCATTCCCTCACCCCTCCACCCTCCACCCCCCACCTCCATCTCCTCTTCTGCCCACTGCCACCAGTCTCACTCAGCGTCCTTGTTTTATCTTCTCATTCAGGGACCAGCCGGATGTCTGCATTTGGTGTTGCTCCTCTTGCGGCTGCCACTCAGCCCAACAGCCTCACAGACGTGGGTGGCCTCCTGGGACCCAGGGTGCCAGCTGGAGGTCTCTCTGGCAGGTGGGTCCAGACATGAAGGTGACTCACCTGAAGGTTGGTGGCATTGTCCCAGACTGATAGAGCCTCATGGCTTACTTGTTCTCCCCTTGTCTTCCTGGCCCGACCTGGGGTAACACAGTGGACTTGTCTCCTTGGTCCCCTTGCTCTGCTCTTCCTGGAAGATGCCCATTCCCACCTCTTTCCCTGTGCCACAGTGTTTTCGGGATGCCCAGCCAGGTTCCTGCATTACAGTCAGCTGTGCCAGGTGTTAGCGGCAATGCAGGGCTCACCTTTGGAGGTGAGTCCTACCAGTGAAGACCTGGAAAGGGTGGGAGAAGCACCCCAGGATTGAGAGGGACTCAAACCATCTTTTTGTTCTCTCTCTCTCTCTCTCTCTCTCTCTCTCTCTCTCTCTCTCTCTCTCTCTCTTTCTCTCTCTCTCTCTTTCTCTCTCATGTGCAGCCTTCACCAACCCCTTCACCACTCCTGCCCAACCCCAGCTGCCTTCTACCAACCCGTTCCAGCCCAATGGCCTGGCCTCAGGTAAGTCCAGAGCTGCCTTCCACCTTTTTAGACTGCAGAGTCCCCTAACCCTGTGTCTCTCGCTACCCAAAGAGTGGTCAGCCGCCCGCTCCTCCCCACCACTGTCTGTCCCCCAGCCCAGACTAGATCCATCTGCAGATCCAAGCCACCTAGTGGGCTGAAAGTAGAAGCATCCATGTCATAACAAACAGAATTTCACAGAAAAATTACAGGTAATGATGGTGCCCCCACCCCAGTACCAGTACTGCCTAAGAAGGACAGTACTGGGGAACTGCTGGGACAGGCTGGGAAACACAGTGTGGTCCAGGCCACCCATGGTCTATATAGTGAGACCCTGTCCCAAAAATGAAAAAAAGGAAGAGTTGAGAAAGAAGAAGGAAGGGGTGGGTGGAGAAGAGGGAAGAAAGAGGAAGAAAGACGTGCCTTTTCCCCTAGTCGCTTCTCAATTGTGTGTTCCCCTTGGCTGACGTGTCGTGACGCTCCTGTTTGCGTCCCTCAGGGCATCCACCCTGTTCTCCCATCAGTGCCCCAAGCCTAAGGTACCAGAGAACCACAGTGAAATGCAGATCCTTCAGCAAGGCCTTGC